CGCCCCACCACCTCTGACTGCGGTGCTGAGACTGAAGAGGCCAGTGTCCGATCCCCGCTTCCCGTCCACCCCGAGCTGCGGCTCCGGCCCCCGTCCCGCCCCCGCCCCTGGCCTTGCTGCCTCCCTTTCCCCCACCCAGCTCCTCTCCGCCCCGGGACCAGGCCGCCTCTCCTTGCCTGCCTCCTGGGCTGCCCTGACTTATGGCAGCCCCAAGAGGGCGTGTGTGGTGGCTCAGCCCTGCCCTTCCCAACTCTGGCCATTAACTCTTCCCCATCCCAAGGCTGGGGTGGGGCCTCCCAGGCAGCCGCCGACCCGCACCCCTAGGGCCCACAGCGGACCCCAGAGGGGCTTTTGTCTGTAGAGCATCTTCCACCAGCAGAGCCTTTGGAAGCTCCCCCAGGGAGCCCCACCCAGGACCCTTTGGGGGATGCCTCAGTCAGGGCCAGGCTGACCCTGACCCCTGCTTACCCTAGCCCCTCAACCTCCTGACACTGGAGGAATACTTTTCTCCTAAGTCTACCCTGGACACTTTTTAGGGCACCTGGAGAGAGCCTTCTTCTCCACTGTTGCCCCTGCGTGGTGAAGATCAAAAGAAATTGTTTGGGAAAAAAAATTTATTAAAAAATTCTATTATTTTATCTATTGGAAGATTTGTTGACTCGGGACTGGGAAAGTGGGATGAGGTCTCTGGATGTAAGGATTTCGGGGCCAGGAGGGTTGGAGAAGGGGAGCCATCCCACGCCATCAAAGAGCTTCCTGCTGGCTGGAAATGGTGTGCGCTCTCCCGAGACCAGAAGCTGAAGCCCCGGGAAGAGTTTCAGCCCTGCATTCAGGTGGGGTGCAATCTGGCAGCCAAGAATGGGTGCTGGTGGCACCTCTTTTCGATTGTCCAGGGGAGGAGCTGCAACCAACCCTGAGTTGTCTGGCGCTTGAGGAACTAAGCCTGGGGAAGAACTCCTGCCTGGTTAATGAACCTCTCCCAGACCCAGTGCCTTCAGGAAAGAGGAGGTCTCCTGTACACACTCCCGGTCACAGATAGCCCACACGTGGCTTTGGGTAAATGTGAAAAAGGCACATCTCCCTCGGGAACACAGCCCCATGCCAGGGCGAACACCTTAGCAAACGGAGACCAAGGCTGGGTTTCAGCGCACCCTTGCCTCCCTGGCTAAGTGCCTTTGTGCAGTGCACAGCCTACACACCTGCACACAGCTACCCTGTGGATATGTGATCTCTCTCTCTCTTGGCTCCTGTGAGGTAGAAGCCATCAGGGATGAACTAGCTCAGAGAAGCAGGTTTCCAGACAGGCTAGAAGAGGGACAAAGGAGCTAGGGCGATCAGAGGGACAGGAATCCCAAATTGGGGTGCATTACTGGCTTGAGGTACAATCAGAACCTTCATCTTTCTGGTGTGTGGAGGAGAGGCTGGGGACAGGGAAGAGGCTCAGGCTAAGAAGGACTTGGGTTGGGGTTTGGGGTGAGTCTCATCAGACTGAGCACTTGGAGAGAAGTTTGGTAGTTTGAATTTGGGGCTAAGAATCTAGCTCAGGCAGGGTGTGGTGGCTTGCACCTGTAATTCCAGCTAATTGGGAGGTTCAGGTGGGAGGATCACTTGAGGCTAAGAGTTTGAGACCAGTCTGGACAACATATTGAGACCCAGTCTCTTAAAAAACTTTTTTAGAGAATCTAGTTTGGGGCGGAGCACAGTGTCTCATGCCTGTAACCTAAGCACTCTGGGAGGCCAAGGTGGACAGATCATTTGAGGTCAGGAGTTCAGACCCAGACTGGCCAACATGGTGGAAACCCCATCTCTACTAAAAATCCAAAAAAATTAGCCAGGCATAATGGTGAGTGCCTATAGTCCCAAGTACTCAGGAGGTTGAGGCACAAGAATCACCTGAATCCAGGAGGCAGAGGTTGCAGTGAGTCGAGATTGCACCACTGCACTCCAGCCTGGGTGACAGAGACTCTGTCTCAAAAACAAAACAAAACAAAAAACCTAGCTTGGGAGGTGGGAATAGAAAGAGAAGGGGGCCTAGATGCTAGCGCTTGAGGAGGCATGCTGAGGTTCTGTGACTCTGGCTGGGGAGGTCAAATGATCTTGAGAAGAAGAGGAAGAAATGAGAAGAAATTAGCATCTAAGCCTGAGGCAGGTAGACTTTGGATAAGGGTGAGGGGTGGGTTGGGGGAGCAGCTGGTCAGGAACCCAGGGAGCTCGGAGTCTGGGGTCTTTCGGGGGCTTGTGTCAGACTGGGTCTGAGGTTAATATGTTGGGTTGAGGGGATAGCCAGGCAAGAGCTCTGGTGGAGGAGGGGCTGCTGGGGCCCGGGCAGGGGGAGGGGGACTGCTGGTAAATTAGAGGCAGGCTGTCCAGGTCACAGAATTATCGTTGTGAAATATTCATGGGCCTTCGGTCCAGATGCTATTTCAGAACAGTGAAAGCAGGAGGAGTGTGTGAGCCTCAGGAAGAAGCCTGAAGCAATGCCATTCTCCAGCAACCCCCACCCCTCCCACCGCCAGCCCAGACAGACCCACGGACGCCCATCACGTGCACACCCACACTCAAGCGCTCACACACTCACCAAGCAAAGCCATATAGCACGTGCAAACACACAAACCACCCACAGGTCCCACAAACAGGCAGATGCCCCCCAAATTCTGGCATGCACACACACCCACTCAGGACCCAGCATAGAGACCACCTCCAGCGATCTCACATGCACAGACCCCCAACCTCTCCAAACAACCCAGATTTACCACGTTGACCCACACACCCTGAAATGGGAGGGACATTCAAGTCCATCGGGCCAACCCCCACCAACCGTCTGATGGGGAAACTGAGGCCAGAGAAAGGAAGGGGTTTGTCTGAGATTCTTCTATCCTCTGAAAAAAGCAAAATCCATTCACCTCCCACATTCTGTGAGTGCACCCCCATTTTGCATTCCTTTCATCTGCCAGACACCCAGTGTAGTTGTAATGAACTCCTCCCTTTCTCTAATTTCCTGTATTCAGTTACCCAGTCCCCCGCCTAGCCCCGGTCTATCTCTTCCTTTCCATTCTCCCCCCCACCTCCCCACTCCAGCTACTCATTACCTCATGCCTGGAATATAAAAGAAAGCGGCGATAACCTCCTCGCTGGTTTCCTACATGCAATCTCTCCCTCCCGCGCACCCAGCCATACCATGGTGACCAGATTCATTTGATCAAAATTTGCATATGTTATGATGTCACTCCGGAGCCTATAATGGCTTCCTAATCCTATAGGGTAAAGTAAAACACCTTAGCAGAGCATCAGAGATCCCTCAGAATCTGGTACCAAGTGTTTTTCTAGCCTTTGCTCTCACAGTCTCATCCCAAACCTTCACTCCAGCTACAATGTGTGTAGCATACTGGCCACCAGTTATCCCGTATCTGAAACCCACCAACCAACTTTGAATACCCTCTAAAGTTTCTCAGTCTCCCCTGAACTAGGAAACCTCTCCCTCATCCTCAGATCACAGACTCCAGAGCCCATTCCCAAGGCCAGCACTGCACCTCTCTGACCATATATGGGGGTTCTTCAAAGCAGCAGACAGAGGCTCAGGCTCTGTCTCCCTCTAAGCAGACGGCTGCCCCCGACTGGCCACCGTGGGAAGCACAGCCAGGCCTCAGTCCTCCGGAACTGAGAGTGAGCATCTAACTGCCCGGGGAGAGGAACAGAAGGACTCCAGATGACTAGGTTTATAAGCCCTTAAGCCTCTAAGGTTCTTACACCCAGCATAGGGGGAGGGTTCCCAGCCCTGTTTCCCTAGCTGCGGGCTCCCAATTTTCCATCCCTAATCCAAGAGGAACTCCTCTGCTATGAAATACAAAGACTTGGGACTCTCAGGACACTGTGGAAGGGAAATTTCCCATCAGACTCTGAAAGGCCAGGAGGCCAGGGATAGTCCAGGTGGCAGGCCAAAGGTCCGGCTGGGGTCAGGTTTCTACATGAATTTTTAATGCTTCCAGACGGACCTGTCAAATGTTCTGAAACCTGAGCATCTCCGTTCATCTCCGTACATGATGACCTTCTACAACCATTGCCCCTGCAGGAGGGCAGGCCTGGGACAGATATCCAGTGGCCTCTGGAGAAACAGTTTTGGGATAGTGGAAGGATGAAGGACCTAGTTATTCTCCCACTAGTAAGCTGTGTGACCTTGAGCAAGTTACTTAACCTCTCTGAACATTAAGGGTTTTATTTTTTATTTTTTAATTTTGTAAGCTGGGGGCAATCGTGCTGGCCTAAATCGATTTGTTGTGGGGAATCAGTGCGATAGCCCAAGGAAAGGTGACCTACATGCTTGCTGTTATTATTCTCTTTCCTCCAGTTCTGCCTCCCTTTTTCAGCTCTTCTTCCAACCCCAAAGCTGTCTCTGGCTATTGCTTTGAAGGTAGGAGCTTTGGCTGGTTCTGGCCTTCCCTTCAGGCCCAAACTGCCCACCTCAAGATCCTTTGGCCTGGGTAGACACTTCAGATAAGGAGGTGGCAGGGAGATAAGAAAGTGGGCAAGGCTGGTGGAGTGAGAGAGGGAGATAGATGGTGAAGCCCTAGCAGGGGGGGAAAGAGGGCAATGGAGAGAGGAGGGAAAGATCCTGCTCTAGAGAGAAGAGCCAGGCGCAGACTCATTCCTTCATCTCTCCTTCCCTTCCCCTTCCCCCCTTCCCCTCTTCCCCCCTTCCCCTCTTCCCCCCTTCCCCTCTTCCCCCCTTCCCCTCTTAACAAATAAAGCAAGAGTTTCGCTTTTCAGGTTGACAAAGAACTTATTTGACTACTTTCCTAAAGCTAATGCTTTGCCGGGAATA